TAAATATTGTAGTGGTCGCCTTATATATTATATTAAGTTTGTCACGAAGTTTGTAACACCCAGAAGGAAGCGTCGGAGACCCTATAAAGTCTACATATAACACACAGATTAATTTCTAAGATAATAATGTAATATACGAAGAATTTGTTCAGATCGGCTCACTATAGCATATATATAGCTGCTTTACAAACTGAATGAACGGAACCAAGTTCTTGTAAGGAAAACTTTCACATTTGACAATGTATCTTCACGAAATTTGGTATAAATTATTTTCTAAGACAACAATATAATCTCCGAAAAAATTGTTCAGATCGGATTACTATAGCATATGGCTTAAATACAACCTGTACACATAGTTACTAAAAGAAATGCACTTATGAAGGGTGGAGGTGCAGCCGAAGTTAACGTTTTTTCTTGTTAACCCTATGTATGAGTCGCTCCTTCGTAATAAGACTATCTTACAAAAACATATATTTTTAAAAGAGCGTTCGTCTATTGAAAACTTCTATATCGGATGTGGCAATTCCATATTTTTAAAACTAAACACTGGAGTCGTGTAAATAGCTAGATGTTTTGTGATCCTGTGTGTTACTGGTTCCTACGTTTTATTAATCATTATGCTTCCTAATCATATGTTGCTTTTGTCAAGACTTTAGTGTCGAATGTTACAGAAAACTAGCTGAGGAATATCTCGACATTTTTGAACCCGGTAGAGGCTTCACAGAGCATAAATAAACTCGAAATTATTACCGCAGTCAACCACTCTTACTAAGGTTATTCTTAAAACATGATCTTTAAGATGGGAAACGCACCGAAAAAGTATTTCTCAAAATTACTATGATATTTTATCCTACTAAGCTGAAAATTTTATCAGACCGAATTAAGACATTCAAAATCTCACTGAACCTCATCTGAAGTGTAGTGTAAATTTTTGAAAAAAAAACAAAACTTTTTTGTATATCTGTAAATTAACAAAGTAAACTTTTGAATGAATATTTCTAATATTTTTTGAGTTACCTAAGTATTTCTAAAGTGCAGCGCATAGTTCAATCCATTTTATCAGTTTATCTTTAAACTCGTTTATCTCAAAACATTTTGGAGCTGCATTAATTACTCGAAGACAAATAATTTGAAACTTCCTTTCCGTAATTTTGGATAAAATTCAAGCGCTGCCGGAGGACGCGTCAAACTCGAAAACTATTTCAACTTTTTTTTTTTTAACAATTTGTTAATGTATTTCTAAGATATGTACCGGGTTTTCCAATAAGGATGATACACTTTTCAAGTGTCGGTTTTGCTATTTCTAATATGTCAAGATCTTTAATTTGTTTTGTTTCTATTGTATTGGCTATGCCAATTCTGTTTTGTGGGCAGATGTTAAGTGTAGTCCCCATGGGCACGAGAGATCCCGAAAATGACTTGTTCCGACAGGTACTTATTGTTGGAGCATGTCCCCTAAGAAATAGGATGTGGAGTATCATTGTACGGGGATATACGCTTGGTAAAGCAGGATAAAATGTTTTGATAAATGAGTAAAGTTTAGCCAGCTACAGTATCAAGACCTGAATTGTGAAAAGAGCGCCTTAAAAACGTAAGATGTTCAACATTGTGACAAAAGAGTACACGGAAATTGTAAATAACACGCAAAATATTTAATTATTCATCAATATCTAGTTTGTCTCCTTCAACTTTCCAGTCCTCAAAACACTTTTCATGAAGTCTTCTTGGGATGGCCTTCAGCTCCTTCAGCGAATCTTATTTTATCTCTTCGATCGAAAATGGGTTCCAGAAACGAAAATAGATTACACGGAGCCAAATATTCATTCCCTTTTTACAATATGCTGCAATACATACTCACATACACATATATTTAGTTATTTAAGATAGTTTTAAAAATTTTATATAAGCAATGAAAATATCAAAATTAAACTAGAATGAAAGATTTCTCACTCAATATAAGACGTTTCATTTCCCCCCACCAGTGATAAGAATTGACAAATTCATTTTTGAGGTCAATGTTTGATGATAAATACAAATCAAACAATATTTAAAATTCTATTTTCTTTGAATATAACACTTATAGGGGAAACTAATTTTTATCTTCACTCAGATTATTTTAAATAAAAACAGTTCTGCTGCAGTCTGAATCAATCTCTTTGTAACGAGCAAATATAAACTTTGGCGCCCAATTAAAATAACTGAATGACTTTTCAATAATTTGGCATGAAACCACATGTACCAATACACAACCACCTACACAATGATATGTGAACCTTTTAGCATACCCATGGTTGGCATGTATCTATGCTTTTCCTCACTTCATATATGTGAGTGTATACAATCTCATATGCACTTTCTTCCTGGCATAGTTCCCATCCAATTACGCATTCACACCCAGTTTCTGTTTTTTTTTTTTTTTTTTTTTTTTTTTTTTTTTTTTTTTTCTTTTTTTTTTTTTTTTTTTTTTTTTTTTTTTTTGTCTCTGACCTGTCACCATTGAACTAACGATCAATATATGCTACTTCCGCATTCAAAGTTCAATAGAGCAGCTAAACTTTACTGCCACTTTTTAAGGCGTGCACTCTTCCCCAATCGCGGGCCATCCGCTGCTGCTCAAGCTCTCTGCATACAAATTGGATTGTAATACTCTCATAAAGCCCTCAATGCTTTTTGTGATCCACTTCGGCAACAAAGTTGAGGAAAGGAAGAAGATGAAGCAAGTGCATAAAAAAAAGCATCGGTAGAAAGAATAACAGCCGTAGAAGGAACCATTAGTTGAAGGAGTAGCATGAGTTGAGTAAGAAGCGTCAACAGAAGACGCAGCAGCTGAAGAAAACGTAGTTGTAGATTTATTTGCCGCATGCATTAGTTGATAGTGAAACTTTTAGTTTAAACAAATTCATTGAGAATTTACAAGTGCGCAGCGAAAATCAAAATTTTGGACTGCAGCAAGTATTTCTAGTTTATTACCGACTGCCGCTTGAAGTTTGTCCCAAGAATTGCTGCAAAGTTGCTTAGTATCCTATAGTGCGGGCGCATAGTTCTGGAAGTTTGTTTGATTAGAAATTTTTCTTTTCTTGACGAAATAGTTTCATTTATTTAATTTCTTATAATTCGAAAATATTTTCTGAAGTGTTTAAGTTTCAAAAATGTTTTAAATACTCGAATGTAGTAAATAGGAAGTAGCTGCGCAGTGAAAATCATTTAAATGCAATCTCATTTGACTTGTATTGAGTGGGTGGTTCTTATTTATCATTTAATTTACCACTGATTCAACTGATTGGAATTCTTTTCAAACTTCGGTTCAATGAAGAATCTTATTAGTTAAAGGAATTTTCATGTCATTGAATTTGAAATGCTTACACGTTCCATTTAAAATCATCTCTTAAAATTAAAGTCACTTATCATGGTATAATCAGGAGATGACTTCCACTCGTAGTCTATTGTATATAAATTTTGAGAATAGGCATATCTTCTCCCAGATATTTGGAGGTGACAACATAAGTATGTCATGTTGTTTTACTATCTTTAAGAAATCTTTAGGATTGTCTTTGAGCTATTTGCTCAGTATCATTGGAAAACTTATTATAGAGATAGTGTAAGTGTATGTAAATACAGAGTTGTGATCTCTCCTTTAATTGGTTCATAATTATTCAAATATTCTTTGGATTCTTAGATTCCCCGAATAAGGATCGCACAGCCCACAAGGATGGAACTTTAGGTTTAAAGAACAAAAAACGCTAGCTTCGGATGTAAAACGTTTAACTTTATAACGAAAACTAAGTTCAACGTGTGGTCAACACAATTGGCATACTGAGCGTACTATTCGCAACACCATCACCCATCCAGAGACCCAGTATTCATTCGACCGAATAGACCACGTGCAGCACGCAGTGAACTATCTATACATAACAGTAGCAACTGAGAGTGTACACGATGACCGCGGAGAGTGATGGAGCTGTTCGCAGCAGCTCGGACTGATGTATGGAGCGACTTGACGCATTTAAACTCGAGATCTTAAATTGAAATCGTACAAAATATAACTTGCGTAAGAACTGAAGCTTTCCCAAGCGATATCGTTTCGCTCTATAGGCGTTTTCGACAAAAAATATTGTTCAGCGATGACGCCCACTTCTGTCTCTTTTTGGACGAAGGGCAACCGGAAAAGTGCAAGAGCTGCCATTTCATCCAGAAAAACAACGCTTTGGTGTGGTTCGTAGGCCGGGGTAATCAACGGTCAATATTTCTTCAAAGATGATGCGCTTGAGAACGTAACCGTCAATGGCGACCGTTATCGCGCCATGATAACCAACTATTTGATGCCTGAAATTGATCTCGTGATCTCGCCGACATTTGATTTCAACAAGCATATGCCAATTCACATATATCGCTTCAATCAATGGATTTATTAGGAGCACACTTCGGTGATCAGATATTTTTACGATTTGAGCCGGTCGTTTGCCCACCATGATCGTATGATATCACACCGTTAGACTTTTTCCTGTGAAAATATGCAAAGTCTAAAGTCTATGCGAACAATCCCGCTTCGATTCAGGCTTTGGAGCAAAATATCACGCATGTCATTCGCCAATTACCAGTCGAAATACTCGAACAAGTGCATTGAGTGATTGAAAATTGGACGAACCATCTGAGTCGTGCCGTGGACAACATCACTTTCAAAAAATAAATGCCAAAGAATGTTCCTTTGAATGATAACGAACATCGCCCACTTTATTTGAAGATTATGGGTTTTTTCTTTAAGAAAAATAGGCGACCTTGAAATGGATCTCACTTTATACATATGTATAAGCATTTCAAGATCAAAGAGGTTAAGTAGTTATTACGAAAGTACTTAAAACTTCTAAGTTCTGTTGAGAAATACATAGAAAGCTAATAATCACGCATTTTCAAAAGTAATGGAATTATTTTATTCAATATTAAGTGCAAATTTATTTTTGTTTAAACACTGTGTACATAAGTATATTTTCAAATTTATATATTTAACCCTTTAGATTCTCGCCGAGACCCATCTCTTGTATAAAAGTGAAGAGCGTAAACGAAAATTTGGCGATCTGTAGATTAAGAAATACAGTTTAGATAATTACTAAGGCATCAAACTCACCGATAAATTGGTCGCCAAATTAATTGGCACCAATTTGAGGGCGAAAAATGGCATAGAATCCTGCGAGCGATGCAAAAAATAGATCAACAAATTATTGAAGCGTTTATTTTGCGCAATCCAATTGCATTGAAAAATAGCAATGCGCAATTGATCACAATCGTCCAGTAAATAGGAGGCGTGATAGCATGTCGGTGAAGTCTGGAGCAGTACGCAGAAGAAGTAAGTGACTGAAGCGATTTTCGTCGTGAGATCAGCGAATATGAAAATGTTAATCATGGTAACGCCAAGTATAGCTGCTGCGACCAGAAACTGTGTAAATACCGTTATTGAGACGACGCTCTCGACAATTTTCACAATTCTATTAAAAACGGAAAATATTACAAATCTCACAATTTTTTACTGCAGACACTTACTTCAATATTTTCTGATGTATTACGATGCACTCTAAGAGCTCTTGGTAATTCTCATCGACACTCTTTTGTTCATCATAACCCAACTTTTCCACACGACTTGTTAGTAGTTGTACTTGTGTGCGTATTATGTAAATATACACAGCCGGATATGAGTCGTTCAAAACTTGATGATATAACAAAAAGAAAAGCACAGCTGCATCGAAGCTAACTTGCAGCCAGTACTCCCAAGTGGAGCGATGCCAATCAACATTGGGTATCCAAAGCGAGAGCGGTGCATGGCCACCCACCAAGGCGGAGACCACAGTCAAAGTTTCATACATAAAATATGAAACAGCAAACCCGAATACCAATCGATTACCCGTTACGGCGCACTGTTTGATCTTCGCCTTATCCTCTGGCGTTGGAAAGCGCTCATCCAATTCGCTCACCATTGGTTCAATGCCCCGCAAACGCTTCTGCGCCATGGCCAGCGTGATGCACTTAAGTGGCACGGCCATGACATTCAAGGAGGCCTGCACGCAAGTTAAAATTTCCATAACAGAGAGCTTGTTGCGATCGCGCAACCAGCCAACATTGAAAATAACCGGCGAGAAAAGCACAGCGAAGAATGTTATGATGGCCGAGTACATGAAATATGGCAAACGATATTTGGCCGGTGGATTGATGCCCAGATATCTGAAACTGTTGAACAGATAAATGACTGCATCACGTGAGGCGAATACCGTTCGACCGCGTCCCTGTATCAAATCGAACATTGTGTTCAGCGAGTTCTAGATGCTTTTGAAATCAACTATTGGCATTGGTGTCATTATTGTGGCTTATATAGATAATTTAGTCTATTTTAATATGCGACTACTAGGGAACTTAAGTTAAACTGGACTCTTGAAAATTGTATGAATTCGAGTAGCAAGAATTTTGAAGTTTTATGAATTAATATTCCTTTTTATATGTAAATATGTATTGGTGCGCACCAGTGAGAAAAGGATAATAACATTTTTCGCTTTTAATATGTTTAACTTTATTTGGTTTTCTTAGTTCATTTGAATTTTATGGCCATAATGAAAATTTAAAAATATATACATATCATATTTCTAAGTACTTCCATAGAAGTTACAAATTCCGAAATAGCCTTCAATGAACATAGCGATTCACGTTAATGCCTTCAATTGACTCAAAACGGTTGCTGAACAGCCAGAAGTCACACGGATCTAAAGTAGGCGAAGAATCAATTTAGTATGAGTCGGTGCATTATAGTTCCATAATTCTGACCTCTTTTTATTATTATTACAAATAGCTTCGCGCAAACGACGCATAACTCTTAAATTTTTCTTGTTGACGGTGTGGCTGGTCGGGAGAAATTCGGAGTGCACCACACCACGATAATCGAAGAAAACTGTGAACATAGCCATGATTTTTGACTTGCTTTGACGTGTTTTTTCGACTTCGGCTCACTTTTGGCACGATATTCGGCCGATTGATCGTCTGTTTCCAGTTCGTAAGCATAGATCCAAGACTAATCGCTGATAATTTTATGACATACTGGCTTTCCGATACAAGTAAGATCTCTTCAAATCGTGGATGTGATAGCTTTTAAAGCACCCATTGTCACTGAGTATTTGAGTCAAGTAGAAGTCCAGGTCCCTATATTGTCTAGCTATCCGCGAATTTATGTCCGGAATCAGCCTGCGGCTCCACCGTCTCTTTGATTCCCTTCTCTCTTTTTGTTGCTGTAGACTCTGATAAGTTGTATATATACTGCGTTAATTTGCATATGATTTTACAGCGTATAACGTCCGTTCGTGTTCAGGGTATAATAAGAAACTTTCTGCACGTGTTCTTTGGCGCTATTGGGAGGTTGGTGCATTGAAATATCTCTAGTTATGTGCCTAATCTAAAAAAATTGTTGATGGCGAATCCTTCAGTTACCATCCGGTGTGAAATCTAATAATAACCACGCCTACCCGTCATAAAATTTCCTTTTGAAAAAATAATTGTATGTACAAAGACAAGGAAATGTTGAATCGAAGAACACTATCTTTTAATTCTTCATAATGAATTGAAGGATCGAACTGAATCGGTCAGTGGGCAGTCTGATATTTTTTAAGTTCTGTGTATTAATTTTCTTGTTGACAAATATTTCTTTCTGGCAATTGGAAGAGGCATGCAAACATATATTCAGAATAAAATATCAAGGTCTTGATGATTTGCAAATATTTCCAAACACCTGCTGGTGTGACTTTTCAAGTTTCATACGCCTACTGAAACGAACTTTAAAATATTGATTACCGGACTTTTTACGCCAAGTACATTAAAAAGAAGTTAAAAAATATTTTCTAATTAATAATTTATTTTCAAATGTTACTTAGGAGGCAAATTAGTGTCAAGTAGTAAACGATTTCGTTAATGCAGTTAAAGCTTTGTTTAAGGCTATTGAGTTATTTGGTTGCCAAAGATAAATAAAACGTTTTTGCCTCAAATGTTAAGATATAATTACCTCGATTAAGATTTTTTAGAATAAATTGCTTGGTAATCGATTACGATACTGTTTAGTCAACTAAGAGCCCTTAATGAACAAAAAAAATGTGCTCCAAAACATCAAAGAAATTTAGTTTGACTTCTATCCCACTAAATATAGCTGCAACAGTTGAATTTACAAAAATATCTGGAGAATATTTAATGCGGCTACAATCATAACCAAAGTGAACTTAGTTATATTTTTTTTTTTTTGGGTACAAAAAATGTATTAAAGTTCAAAATAGCTCGTTAAAATATCGTAAATAAAAAGCGTTCACTTCGCAAAAAGTGTCTTGTGACTGTGATTTCAATTAGCTATTTGATCTGAATCCAAAAAATTGAAATTCGCTTTTGTACAGTCGCAACTAGAGTAGCCAGGTATGTGGTGTGTTGGAGTACCACTTCTTGGTTAGTGAGTTCAAAACACAACTAAAGTGATCTGCACCACTGCAATGGTCGCCAGTCACAACAGTCAATGTCAAAACTGCGCACATATTTCTATAAAAAAAGTTAGCACCCATTCGGAGACGTTCTAAAATTTTAAGACTGCTCTTTCATGGTTAAAGTTCGTGCTACACGTAAAAAATAAAGTATCTACTTTGAACTACGTTGGCAGAAATTACCTGCCTTACTTTTACTTGCAAGAGTTTTATTTTGAGAGTTCTGCGTGAAACCAAAGCAAAGTTTTTCCATAGTGACTCAACTGGTTTCCTACGGCTACAGATATAGGTGAGTATGCTATATCCACACTTTTATTGCACTTTTACTGCCCACTACTCCTGCCTCGACAATTTCATTTTCGTTCAGTGGAATTATTGTGATCTCTTTGTTTTCGGTTAGACAGTTTTTATTGACTGTTGCATGTTACAAAGTTCATGCCGTAGCCGCATCGGCACATGCAACTGAAAAGTCATAAAAACTTGTTGCACAACTGATTAAAAATAAAAATTTGTTTTAAGCTTAGTATGAGTGCACGATGATGAGCTGAGTACACCTCAGATATAACTTTGTTTGAAAGCAAGTTGCAACTGAGTTTGCATTGTGCACGCAAAGAGTTTAGATAAAAATACCTGGGCTTCTAACACAATCGTCTAAATTTAAGTTAACTGCAAATTGTGTACTACTTTTGTTTATCGTGTTGATGTGATTGAAGCATAAAGCTGTGTAAATGAAAAATAATAGCTATGTAGGCTTGTGAGCCACGCATAGACCAGTTGTGGTCCTTAGTGATTCCAGAATTTCAATACGTTCTCTGGATTCACAGAAGACATCTCTCCCAGTATCTCATATGGGCTCCCCACAGTTTTAAAGAACTGCATTGCTTGTGCGGGACAAGTGCACAATAGATGGTCCATTGTTGTTGCCTTGCACTTGACATTTCCTGCAGTCACCGCAATCTGTCAGCCCCATTCTGCAGCCATGTGACGCCACTAAGCGGCAGTGAGTATTCCAATAATGTTCCATCAAAAGTGATTAGGAACCTTGTGCATTAGTGATCTACCGCTTTGCACATGACATTTGCAGTCTTCCTGGGTTTGCCAATGTCGGTCACGTTTTCGGATGACGCAGATACATCATTCTTAGCAATCTCGTTCACTATCTCATTGCCATCGATGAGTTTGTGACCTGGCGCCCAGTAGAACTCGCCACTGATTTTTTCTTTTCGCCAATTCGAGATAGGAAATGCAACCAAGAGTTTCTCCACCTAATCTCTCCAATCCGGCGGGTACTGCATAGATTATTCTCAGAGCTGGAGTGATCTCTTACACCCGAACAATATGACCTAGCCAACACAGTTGCTGTGACTTTGTTCGCTTAACTATGTCAAGGTTTATCGTATATCTTGTACTGCTCATAGGTCTATCAACTACGGTATTCGTCGTTGCCAATGTGCAAGGGATCATAAATCATATGAAGGACTTATAAAGTTTGGTCTTTGTTCCTTGAGAGAGGACTTGACGACTTTGCTTTACCATTACTTACTCGGTTTCTGCGTTGGATTGTATTGTTGCTGGTTTCAAGATAGACGAAATTATCTACGACTTCAAAGTTAGTCGCCAATGCGAAAACTGTTTGTTTTGATGAAGGGAGATATTTCGCTCGACCTCCTTCACTGCCAGACCCAATTGCATTGCTTCCTTATTCAGTCTGTAGAAAGCAGTACTAACGGCGCTGTAATTTAGGCCAATAGTATCAATATGATCGGCGTATGCCAGCAACTAAATGTTCCTATAGAAGAGTCGCTATCCTGACGATGCTTTTGATGTTGCGCAACGTCTGCTAATACAGCCGTATTAGTTTTGCAGAGATACCAAGTTCAGACATAGCKGCATAGAGGCAGTTCCTTTTTCGTACTATCGAAGACGACGAAGAAAAGGTGTGTGTCGATTTTCCTTTCGCGGGACTTTTCCAAGATTTGGCGTATGAAGAAAATCTGGTCAGTTGTTGATTTTCCAAACCCAATGCTACGGTGATAAGGTCCAATCAGTTTGTTGACGCTCGATAAGACTATATATGCATTATTAAGGGAGCTTATCCCACTGGTAATTGACCCAGATTTTGGGATCCCTATTTATATATCAAGCTGGTAATTGTTATTCGAATCTTATCATAGTCGAGTAATGGAACATCTATTCCATCGTCATTAATTGGGGAATCGAGATCGCCATCTCCAGATGTTACTCTTTCACTGCCGTACAGCAGGCTGGAAAAGTGTTCCCTTCACAAGTTCAATATGCTGTCGACAATCATCTTAAGATCTTCATACTCACGCATTTCGCCTCTTTCTTTGTTTGCCTGCATTTGCATCTCACTTCCCTGTTCAACTCTCTGTATCGATCCAACTCCTCTCGATAACCATCTTTTCATGGCTGCAATTATAAGAAGTTTATCTTGACTATATCTAGTTCCAAGCAACCGAATAATTGCAAATAATTTTGGAGATTCGATTATTTCACGAAATTATACTATTTACTGGCGTCCAAGAAGTGTGATTTAACACCATTAGTCTACTTCTTATGGGGTTATTTGAACTCATATGCTTTTAGCAATAAACCACACTCACATGATTCTTGGCAAACGAAGACATTGATTTAGTGGAAAAAGTACTCGAATTCGTTCATGCAAAAGAAGTTGTGGAGGTCATTTAGATGATGTAATATTATGTTGTATCGATTGTACTTCACATTAAATAAAAACATTTGAAATCTTTCAAGAATTAGTGCGGCTTTTTCAAGAAATC